CCCGACCCCGCGTACAATCTGATGTTTATGGAAAACATAGTGTAATGGAGGCAGTCTAGAACCACTAGCGGAGGCAGAATAGAGAAAGTTCTCTAAACTCCAAAGCTTACGTTGAATACCGTTGGCGTAAGAAGAGATCCCATCCGTGAATAGTCCCGAGATACGGGGAGAGCGAGCTAGAGCAACTGGTAGGGAAGATGAGTCAGGTAGCTCTAATCCGAGGTAAAACGGTCGCACTAATCCGAGCGTTATCGTATCGACCTCTCCGAATATCCTCGGGCACCGAAGCCTACAGCTGTCGCCCGCGATCGGCACAAGTGTTTCGAGTGAAACTGTTCCGGAAATATTCAGATCGTGCATTCGACGTCCCCAGGAGTCGTTCGAGCGAGGATAGATGTCCAAATTAAGAAAGCAACAAACTATATCGGGACACTCCAACGTGTTCCAAACGCCCGAGATTTTCTCTTTTGTTCTCGACATTGCCCCGCGGTCCAAAACGCGCAGAGTCTCGTGCCACTTCCTACGGATCCAACGGTTACACATACAATACACGATAATAGATACTATATACATGCGTATTCTAATCTGTGCGCAAACGTACAATATTCGCCCGGCTAGGGGCGGTTTACATTCCAGGTTCAACTTCGTCGCACGCGGGTTCCCATGTAAAAGTGGAGGAAAGACGAGTTTCGAACACTTCGAAAATGTACGCAAGGCGTATGTACAAACAACAATTAGCGTCGCAGTAAAAACAGCGAAACACAAGGAAATTTCAAAATAACATTCCACCAAAACATCATTAGAGTTCGTGATCGACGAAGGGGTTAAAGAATTGACTGCACGCCGAGAACGTTATAACACTGATAATATTCATTTATTGAAAATTAAAATAACAAAGTGTCGGAGAAGTTTGTATGCTTCGTCAGTATAAAATATTGCCTCCTTCGTCCAGGTATTCCTTGTCTCCTCGGACTTTGTCCAGTATAGTTTGCAAACTCTCACATTCCATTTCTTTCGTTCGCTCTTTCTCGCTCTCTCACTCACTCTTTCTCTGTATCTCATTTGTAAATACACGCACGCGCGCACGCACTCGCACTCGTATTGCTCAAAAAACGGTACCCCCGCCGCGAAAGAAAAAAAAAGTATTCTCGTCGTTGCTCGATGATCGGTCGTTGACGTTCCTTCCAGTGGGAGGGAAACGCCGGACCGCGATGATTCGATAAAAAGGTTCGATTGCTCGTCGAGGGATGATTGTCCCTTGATTGAAAACGTCCCCGGACTCGGTGGAGCGTACGCGGTGCGAGAGAGAGAAGCTCGAGGAACTAACCAGGATGGACCCGTGTTCCCGTCCCCATATGGCGCGGGTGCCTTTTCTAATCTTTCAACGACGGTTTCGAATCGACCGGGATGCGTCATGCGGAATCATTAAGGGTCGCCTCGGCTATTCGCCTGGCCGGAGGGTCGCTGCTTTATTCGAATAGAACTCGTGCTCGTGAGCCAAGGATTCTCTTTCTTACGGAAAGGATTCCTCGTTTTGGGTCGAACGCGTCGACGTGCTCGTGAAATAGTCGTTAAGCAAAAACGAGCCGGTCGAGTACAAAATAAACGGAATTGCCTCGGGAATCGTGGGGGAACTCTGTGCCCCACCATCCCCCACCTCGCGGAAGATCGTTCCGGATTAAGCATCGTGCAATTAGGTTCTCGCCGGATTATACCGCGAATCGTTCGCGTCTCGTGGAAATTTCGCTCCCGAGCGAACCCCGAGAGTATTCGGTGAATGCCTGCGAACGCGTCCACGGTCCTGAAGGACTCGGCTTTACAGGAGCGAGGGGCGAGGGTGGGCGGCGAAGAAGATTCAAGAATGAGCGCGTAATCCCCAGTGTGGGAATAATAAACTGTGGTGGAGCACCCGTACCGACGTGGAAGTAATCCGATAATCCCATTAGACGGGTTTCCATAAAATCGTTAACCGCGCCGCCGCGTCGTCCAGGTCGCGTACACGCGTCCTGCTTCTGACTCGGTCCGCCGCTTTTCCCGTTGGATCCCCCCCGCCCCTGTGACATCCGGCTCATCATTGTCCCGCAGTTTTGCGCCCCACGTTGCCTTTTTTCTTTCTAGCTGCGATTAACTTTTTTCTTTCTTCCTCGCGAGTTATCGCGCCCGAAACCTTCCGAAAGATTTTTGCTGTTTCCCGTTTGTGGCCGTTCTCGGTGGTTCGATGAGTGAAGCCGTACGAAAATTTATCCGAACGCGAAACATACCACCGCCGGGACCGTTCCCTTTCGGTCGGTGTTTTCCCCGACTGGCGTCCGAGTTAAATTAATTCCACCCCTTTCCCCGCCGTGAAGCTCGATGAAAATTCCACGGGGTTGGCGGCGCAATGATTCCGATAAACCGAAAACACCGAGGATACGCGTCAAGTTGAAATCGTTGGTAGCGCAGAGGGGGGAGGACACGGGGCGCGGGTTCGGTGGGGAGTTTGTGCAAGCAATTTTCTGTTTCTCATTACCGACTGCATTAGCGGAATATTCGCGTGCGATATTAGGACCCAATGTAAATTAACTGGATTAAATGCGTAGGCCGATTGCATCAATCTCATTAAGCGGAGCACATAATGTTTGACGAGAGGCTGGCCGGCGCGAGCGCGTAGGCGGTCGGTCAGTAACGATGTTTGGGGATGCTCCGATAATTATCAAATCCCGGGGACATTGTTTGCGTCGCGCAAACCGAAAATAATAGAACACCGGCGACGGGGCCATAGCTCTCGATACCGATGACCGATTCTTTCTCAACCGGCGACAAGTTTTACAATTTTATCCGAAACGCCACTTCTCATAATCATTTGGCATCGTTCGGCGAATTCGATGAATAGACTGAAACTTTCGGAATTTCAGATGGTACCGCGAACGTTCGTTGATTCGAGAACTCGACCACCGTGCGCATCGCCCGGATATGCGAACGTCAGGGTACAACTGTTTGACTTTCGGCATGACATCCGTAGTTCGAACACATTCAAAGAACAAAACCAGCCATTCGGGGACAGTCCAGAATTCGTGAGGGGGGGGGGGGTTGTTTAAACAAGAAAGTTTGGGACGCAGTATTTCATGTGGGAGGAGAAAAAGCACAACCCTATGGTTCACCCGGTTTAATCTCGCTCCTCTCTCCGAACGTGTTCCCCTATCCGACCTTCGAAATCGACGTCCTTCCGTTCACGCACGCTCCATTCTGAACCGAGATTCGAGGCTGTTCGCAATGAAACGCGCGACAGACAAACCGATGGGGGAACTGGTGGAGAAAGTAATCGAGGGAAGCTGGGGGGAGGGGATTGTTCGCGATTCGACCGCGGGGCATCTGATTGCTGTCACAATGAGCTTATTACCCCTATGAAGCTAGAGAATCCTTAACCGCTATTGTGTCGCCTTAAGGTTAAACGCTATATACGCTGCTTTCTCTTAGGTACAGTACGGCATCTAAGGTGCTAATCGTTTTTAAAAGTCCTAACCACTAAGTGTCCTACTCGTCCGGCGTGAAAACGAACGGAAACGAAAAAGGTCATGATCGGTCTCGCGCGCGTGTGGCTCCGTTGGCCAACCGGTCCCCGTGTGCGCAAGTAAGACGAAAACGGGCAAGTGACTCGTCGACGATACCCGCCGACGAAGCCTAACGAAAACTCGATCGGTTCTTCTCTTTCGAGAACCCTGAAAAGGAACGTCTTTCACTGGATTAAATGGACGTCTTACGAGGGAGGAGCCTTTGATCCGTCGCATTTTTCCGCATTCCGAGCGGATAGATTCCCTCCTTCCAAGACTCTGATATTCTCTATCAGACGAAAAAAGCACATTGAAGCCGGCGTGCTCCTTCTTGCGGTCGCTGCTCTGTTCGCGATTCGTTTTTGAAAAAAAAAAAAGAGATTTCGTTAAAAGGCTCGTTGAATCTTCTTGTTCGCCATCGTAAGGGGAAAGCGGCGATAAGTATCGCGTTTGGATGAAATCTTTCGGTCCGAAATGTAAAGCTGAACGTCGACCAGAAGGATAAATCGATTGAGAATATTTGAATCCTGGCTGAGGATACTCGTACCCGCGCAGGAACGGAATTTTGGAGGATCAAGACGGCTCCCGCGTCCGTGTCGTAAAACAAACATCAAGGAAAGCGTAACGGCGTAAAAACTACGTTCACCGCGATTGGAAATGTGGTAAAATAGCGATTGGCTTCTTTTACATTTTACTCTCTATACTCCTCTGCGCGTACCTCTTCCTCTTCTTCTAGGTTTTTTTTGTTCTTTGTCGTTCGTTTTTTCATCCTCTTCCGTCACGCACTGTTCCATCGTGCCTGCCCATTGCGTTCCTTCGTCACTCGGTTCGGGTTAATTATTACAAAGATGCTTGTACAATAATATAATATAGACTCTGTATTAGTTACAATAATATCGTAGCGTTCTACCCTCGCGATCGATCGGTCCGTATCCGCTTGTCCCTCCATTATCTTTTCCCCCACCCCCCAGTTCCTGTCGCTCGCTGTCACGACAATCCGATCGGACAATACCAATATAACAGAACATCTCTGGATACAACATTCCCAACTTCCTCCGGTTGTATAGATCCTCTCGTGAAACGCAACATCCTTCGTCTACATGGTTTGAGCCATTGCGTGAGTTTATTGCTTATTGCTTACGTTAACGTTCGCGTTCCGTGTTCTCGGCGAAGAAATCCCCTCGGCAGATTCGAGGATTTGCCTTCTCGATGGAGCCGGACGGACCGCGGGGCACGAATCCTCGATTGTGCGACATTCTCGAAGGCCCGGTGAACACAAACGTCGCGATATCACAACGGCGGACACTGTGAAATTGGCCTGATTTGTATTTTCAATGTAGAAGCACGCAAGAATGCGCTACATCGCAAAGCAACAACGAAGTAGCAATTTTTCGATGGGATTCACGAAAGATCACCAATGCGCACATAAGAGAACAGCGTGACATCGCGTCGTCGCTCCCGTTCGCTCTCCCCACATTCGTTACACGGGAATTTCATTTTGATTCCCGGGACAGCCGCGCGATACCGGGCCGGTCAGTTTCCCAAGTCTACGTACTCGACTATTTAATAAAATATGCCCGCGACCCCCTCTTCTCTCTTGGTCTGATAGGAGTCGAACAAGTGGTCAATTTGTCTCTCGCCGCGTCGCGGCCCCGCGATCTCCGCCGATAAACCCTGAATAATTGGCCGCGCGAGGGGGTTTTTCTCCGGCACGTGTGACCACGCTCGGGAAAGAAAAACGAAAACGAGCAAGATCGTGGCGAGGAAGAATCGGAGCCGTACCCAGAACGCATCGGGAATTTCGTTTGAAATCGTTGCGCCGTGAGAGGGAAATTGTCCCGACGTGGACTCGGTGCAACGGCACGGTTACGACCCATCACAGTTACAATTTTACACTTTCCACGCCCGGCCGTATGCCAACCGATAGTTTTCTTTTTTTTTTTTGCTTCCAACGATCCTTTACTCCCTTCTGTCGAGTCAATTACAGTTTAACTGCTAGAATCTGCATACGCCTGATTTCACGGAACAATCGATTAAAATTCAGAAGGGGATGTTCTATGGTGTGGTTGAAGAATAAATGGAGAAGCTTTACGTGAGAATGAGAGTGCAAAGATGCAGCTAAAGGGGATATAGATGTTGTGGATAATCCATGAAGCCCCCGTGGTGTCAAGCTATCTGTACTTTGCGTTCACGATAATAGAGTTTATTTTTCGTTAAGACATTTTGGAACAAATTATTATAGACCTCGATTCAGAATTGGTAATATGACAGAAAATATTCAAGTAACCGTAGAAATAAAACTGGCACAACGAGGGCAGATGTTAAGTATATTATTGCAAATGAAGTGGCGGATTTTATTAACCGTCATATGTCACTTATACCTTTATAAACAGAAATTATAAATATGGGTCACCATTTGCATATGAAGCTAATTATTTTCTCGATTGTCAAACATTATGTACTTTGACGATTAAACTATGTATTTATGTGTGATTTGAACTGCGGCGAAAATGGAACTAGATCACACATAATAATTGCCAAATGTTTTTACATAAACTTAAGTGTTTATAATTACAAATTCTTTTTTGAGACCAATTTTCTTTTTCGAATCAGACGTATCGAGGATACAGGTGAACCAAAAATACATCCGGGCTCCGATTTCTTCCTCGCGTACCTCGTTCCCACCCCTCTCTTAACATTCCCCGCCGAATAATCCTACTACACTGTCGATTGTATTGCGTTGAATCATCTCCTTAACGTTTTCGACACTGTTCCGCCCCTCCACACACCGCCGGTGTCGATTCAATCTCACCCGTCATGATCACTCTCCTCGCGGGAAACGGACGCCTTTCACTCGGCAAAGTGTTTTTCGTGTATTTTTAATAAATCCACAGGCATCGATCGTTTCTGTCCCGTCTCTTGAAACATCGCGGACACTGGAGTAGCGGTGGCGCGGGCGGTCTTTTTATCGTACGATAGAAAAATAACGCGGGTGACCGGAAGCTTTGAAACACATATTCTTCTTTTTTTTTCTCTCCTCTCGTCCGAGCTCCGCTGGGTTATTAATACAGCCGGCGGCTATTACAGCCATTATATAATAGCGACGGTGCACGTTCAGCTATAGCGCGGCTAATAGCCCTTTGTAGCCATTACATAACAGCTACAGCACAATCAACCTATAATACGCCCGCCAACATTTCGAGCGGTAATTGAATCTCGCGGCCTGGATTTTCGAATTGTCCGAAAACTAGCCGTCAATCCTCCATCAAAGACCGCACTAGTTTTTTTTTTTTACAAGAATTAAACCACTCAATGTCCACTTTTTGTTTGCGTTAACCGAAAGTACCGTTTGTACATCGACGAAATGGCGTTCCCGATGTTTCAAGAGGCGAGCGCAACCCTTACACGTACATCTCCCTTCTTCTCTTCACTCTCTCCCACTCTCTCTGAAATAGTAATATAATTACATCTCACACAATACACCGTGCGCTCGTTTTACGGGGCGCCCGATAACTTCGAGGAAACAGAGAAGCATCCGGCGCGAAAAATATTTGCCGAGTAAACGGTTCCTCCCCTCGCGCCTTTATTAAAGCTATTCCCTATGTAGTTTTCTACCTTAAAAGATAGCGACCGTCGGCGGCCGATCGTCTTACTGGCTATAAACAAGATGTTGCTTTCGTCCGGTGTATTATTCCACGGGTCGGTGTCGAGTCACGGTCCCGTCGTTAACCGTTCAATCGTTCTCACCGTGCGCAACGTCCTCGCGAATCCGATCGATCGTGCGCCGTGATCCTTGCCACTTCTGATATGGTCTAACCATAGAAACTCGCGCGCGGTTTACTTCGTTCGTTAGCGTTGCCTGATTTTTGTTTTTAATTAACTAGTGCCTACGAGCTACGTCGGTAAAAAACCTACTGGCCGGGGGAGATTCGTGCTCGATGCGACGACGACCGTCCTTGTTTCAACAACCGGAGGTCCATCTATGAGTCTTGATGAGAAAAAGCGAATTCCTCGCGAGAAGTTTCCCATCCTTCCCTCCTTCCTTCTCCCCTGGATACGTCCAGCTCGTTCGGATCCGGTTCTTCCGTTCGAATCCTCGAATTCTTCGTCTGATCTTCCTCCACGACGAGGAGAATACCTCTCATACAGCAGGAAATCAACGTTCTGTTACTTGTCTCTTGATTATCGTCGACGGTATTTTTCAGTCTCAATCATCGAATCGAGACACGATTTTACGTCGTTCCCACTCGTCGGTATTTCCATTCTCCCGTCTCCCCGTATTCGCGAAACATCACGGCGATTTCGCGAGCACGAATTTCTCCCGACGAATCAGAGAGGCTAGCCTGGGAGTTACGGACGCGAGCGTTCGAAGCCAAAGAATCGATTCTTCCGAGTTCTTTCTTCCTGTCGTCGTTCCTCCTCGCCTTTGGCCCGGACGCTCGACCGATCTTCTTCGGTGATTCGCGACGAAGGTGACTATATATAATATTTATATATATATATATACTTTTTTGTTTTATTATACACGTGCACCAACCCTCGTTTATCGTCACTCACACGATGTCCAGTAACGTAGATTACAAACGTCGATTTAACGGTCGTGAGATCGTTGCCCGTTCGATTAGAATCACCTGTATATCGCGACGATCACCGTCAGACTGACGATCAGGAGGTGCGTCGACCGAACGACGAAGCCCCTGTTCTCTTCCATGCATTGGCCTGAAAAAATACAAAATCGTATTTATTAGAGAAGCTGCGTCGTAAAATCGTAGTCGCGTGTACGGAGTCAATTCTTTCATGTTGCTAAAGTCTCGTTGTTAACGATGACGATAGTCACCTGATCATACTAAAGGCATCATCGAAATTAAGAGAATAATCACGCTATAAATACGAAGAAAGAAATCGACAAGTAGTGAAACATCACCATACCCTCATTCCTCATTACAATAAATCCTCGATGAGTGTTCGAAGGCTCCTCGACATTGAATATTAAATATTTCCTAAACTAATGGCCATATGCGGTTGAAACAAATATCATTGTCTTCAGAATACCATTCTCTATCACTATACCTCTTTAAAAAGTCAGCGTTACACCTGGGGATGTCTCTTTGTCAGTGCCGAAGAGCCTTCGAACACTCATCGAGGATGTATTGTATACGCCTTTTTTCCTTCTAAAAAAAACTGACCATTTAACGTCGACTTAGACTTTTATTCGGACATAGATGAAACTCGATTCGACGCTTAAGTCGAAAGTGTTTTGATATCTACTCCCAGAGAGGAAATGTCATCGATTGTTTGCGTTCGAACTCGTAGTGGCGCCACTTGATTCATTTATCAACCAATTGTCAGGATACATTTGTTAGGAGAAGTCGCCAGTGTGTCGCACTCGATTATGCATTGCTACCTCGCACAGTCTGCGCTGCGAATTCAATCGACACGTGCGGATGACAATCGTCAACGCCACGATTTTGATTGGACCCCATAGTGTGCCGTTCCGTCAAATCGCATTGAACGTCTTCTGCCGCGAAACGAGAACGGAAGAATCCGACTTTCGTTCCTCCGTGGCAGGTGTAATCAGTTTCTTCGAAGACGCGTCGCACCTCGCCCGCCCGTGAACCGCAATGCTAACGTTTTTACGAACCTCCGAAGTACGGAATGAGAATTTCGATCGTGAAACGACTGCCTCGATTCCCTGGGAGAAATTATCGGAGGACGACGAAAGCTGAAAATCCAGTCGAAACGATTTGGTAGATCTTTAATGAAATTTGTCCGATTTGCAATGAAAATTCTACTTTCTCGGATTACCGAACGTTTTCTGTCCTAGCGTTATAAATCGCCGGAACAACGTCGATTAAACACTTGAAACCGTTTCGTTTTCCATGAAATCATACCCCGCGACAAAATTTCTACCGGTTCAAATTTCACATTTTTAGAAACAACGAACTGAAACTCTAAATTCTTCGCTCCTGTGGGCGTGTGCAATTAGTTACGGTTACTCATGCGGAAGGGTTAACTAACACTTGCAGGTAGTCACAATTAAGAATACACTAATCCGCGGAGCGCCGTGTCGGGTTGTAATGCTCGCCGAGAAAAACAAACGAATTGCGGCAATGTTTTCCGCGAAGTCAACGAGTAACCGCGGCACGAAAAATATTCCACACGGTGGAATCGATATGTTCCGTGTTGCGGCGCAACGGAAATTGAAAATTCCAGTGTTTACAAGAAAAAAAGAGAAGCATCGGTAAATAAACGGTAAACGGGGGCGTGTGTATCTGCAGTTTAATCGGCGGCTTCATCAGTAAGCGAATTCTGTAGAGAAACATTGTAACGAATGAGCGGATGGAGTAGCGACGGGGGAAACAAAACTGAAGGATCTTCACTGGAGTGACAAGACAACAGTTAAGGCTCCGAAGGACGCTTCAGACTGAAGTACCGTGAAAAGTGCTATATACCCTGATAACATCAAACAAATCGAGGGACTCGAGCCGAGCGTATTTTTCCAGTGACAAAATCGCAAATAATCAGGCTCGTTGGAAGTCAGTACTTCTGGGTCGCATAGAACGTCCGTAAACGATGGAGAAGTCACTCCGCATTATGTTTCCAAGTAAAGTAACCGACAATCTGGTTCCTTTAGGGATTTTTATAAAGTTGATTGAATCTAAAGGTTAAAAATCTTTTTTTCTTAAATGAAAAGCTTTAATTCGATTCTTTACAACTGAGCTTGCGAATTGAATGTAATATAAATTTCACCCGAGTCTTCATTTATTAATTATAATTACAATCCGGCTGTGTATCGAAAGCGACAGTGTTCGTTTCAATCATCGTCAAACCTAACAGCGACGAGAAAACTTAATCGAGGTGAAAGTAATATCTCCTCCAAGAGTAAACGAGAAATTGCAATAGAGCAAATACGCGTCTTCTATAAGGCTAATGGACGAGCTGGGTAGAAGAAAACGAAAGAAAGAAATACACAGGAACGAAGGGAAGACGAGTGTCGAGAAAGCTGCCTAATTCCTTCGACAATGGGCTCTCTCTCTCTCTCTCTCTCTCTCTCTCTCTGGGGGCCCAAAATCTCGAGACAAAGTGCTCGAACGTCGAAACATTCGCAGCAGTTGCGAAACAAAACCGTTAGAGGTTCCTCGTAACGGTGGCGCGTTCTCCTCGTCGCGGCAGTCGAGACCTTAAGGATTCTCGAGAGGGAGAAAGAGTGAGAGTGAGAGAGAGAGAGGGTGGATAGAGAGTGAAGTGGCCAAAGGAAAGAGGTAGGTACTCACCGGTACTGGTAGCGTTGAAGGCCAACATCGGCGGGGGCGGAGGTATTCCCCTTTGGCAGGCCACCTCGCTGGCAGTCAAGCTGACAACTCCTCCGCTCTCTTTGTACATGAAGCACAATCTTCGGCTGTTCCTGTAGGGCTGGGGTCTGTTGTTTTCGCTGGTCCAGGTTGTCCCGGGCGCCAGCTGCGTGGCGATCACGAATTGGGTGCCCTCCGCGTCGAACCACCTACCGTGGCAGGAGTAAGCTGCGAAAGAGAAAGCGTGGAGGCCCTTACCGGCTAGGAAGGGAACGGAACTTTCCGGGATAATGGCAGGGAGGTATCTCGAGCCGGTCGTTACCCCTCGAGTGCCATTATCCTCTAAACAAACTTTGACAACCTCCGTGGGATGAATGCCGGCGAAATAAAAGCCCCTCCCGCTAACGGGGAACAGATCTATACATATATACCATCGCTCTATCGTTAATGCGATTTTAATTATCGATGATTCTCGCGAGTCCTCTATCGTTGATAATTCAGACCCCAAGAAATGGACCCGGGAATCTACTCATCAGAAACCACAGGACGGATTCAATTTTTTAAATAGATTCTATTGCGCCGACTGGCAAACCAAGTTGCGCGGACTCGGGACTTTAACTGTACTTCAGACCTACTTCAGAGACGAATTGAATGATTTAAAAACAGATAGGTAAGTCCGTAAGATATCGAGCATTGTTTTCAAATTGTTACTAACTATTCAAAAGAAAGGATTCCATAATTATTTGACATCTTTGAAGTACTAAACATGTCCTGAAGTGGGTCGAAAGTCTTACAAAGAATATATTGCATTTTGTGTTACTTTTCGTTTTGTTTTTCTCACCAATAGCATTGTCGTCGACGCAATCCGTCTGAAACTCCATCCTGTCCGCGGTAGAACAGCCAATGGTTATAGTCGTGACTTCCGAACTACATCTGGAGATATCTTCCTCCCTCTTTTCTCGTCTCTCGCCGGAATCATCCCCGGAGTCTGGCTCCTCGAGGTTCCTTCTCACCCTTGACAGATCCTTATACGTCATTTCTCGATAGTTACTGCCCGACCTTTTCTTCGGCAGGTCCGAGCTGTCGGGATAATCACCGAAATAATCTTCCTGGACCTCGAGGATGCTCGAGCCGTCGGTGTCGTCGAAGTCCGTCGTCCAGAACTGTCTGATCCGCGCGAAGTCGTCCGCGTCCACCCGGAAGTCCTCCAACATCGGGGCTCTTCTCGATCTTTCGCTGATTCTCGGTTCGACCATCGTCGAACGTTTCTCTTCCGATCGTCTGACTTTCGACCACGTATGGTCCCAAAGAAGGTCCTCGATGTCCAGAGACCTCTTCGAGGACACCTCCTCCAGACTGTGGTCCCGATGGGCTCTACTGTTGCGATTCGATCTGGCCCGTCTGCCCATCCGTTCGTGGACGAGGTACTCGTTGTTCGCCCGACGTTTCTCCGCCTCGAAGTCGAGCTTCCGGCCCCGTCGATCCTCCTGCGTTCGTTCCTGGGCGTGTCGAACCTTTTCTCTGTCGCGTCGGACCCCCTCCTGGTGTTGGTTCCGCCGGCTTTCACGGATGTTCCGTTGGTTCCGGTTCACCCCGGTCACCGTAAATTTGCCCAAGTACGGGCACGTACGTGGCTCCGGGGAGCTAGCTGAAATTTCGAGAAAATCGTTCGGTGAGATATCTGGGAAAATTTCCTTTTTTTGGGGGGAGGGGGAATTTGCACCCGCGAACACCGTTTATCCGCCCTGGGATCCTACGTGCGAGCGTTCCTTTGCTTGATTTTAACCGTATTTCACGAGGAAAATGTTTTATGCAGGAGAAAATACGTTCATGCATGTCGAAATTGGCGTATCCACCGAGATCGTAGGGGAAATATGCTATTTAAATTATTGGGTCTGATAAGCTTGTTGTAACACGATGTAATTGGTGTTAATCGTTACTGCAGCTTACAGACTGCCAAGTTTACTTGCTTTATATGTATCTCTAAGAAACATTATAGAGACACTAGTGGACTATATAATTTAGGGTCTCGACCATTACCGAGACACGCGAATTTATAATCGGAGATTTACCGTCAGTTTCGAAAGCAACGGAAGTAATAAGATGCAGAGAGAGAAATGTGTTAGCGAGAAATCGAGGAATAATTTATCCAGCTTCGGGACACCGTCGGAATCGATTAGAGCTCATTAAAGCTCATTTGCTAGTACCGGAGAGCCGGCACCTCGATAAACGATCGATCTATAAACTCCCGTTTGGGGACTCCTTAAACAGAGATACTCGCAAACTTACCGAGGGACATCTCGACCGAAGATCGGCGGAATTACAAATTACCCGTTCCAAGTAACAGCAAGTGGAATCAAACAAGAAACTTTCGACAGTCCCTATCGATCTTCCCTAACGACGTTTTCTTGCGGGGGTATCGATCGATCGGCGCGGGATCGGTCACTTCGGATAAGCTCGGCGAATTCTGGAGTTTCTACAGCGAAATTTGTAGTGGTCTGCCCGTTAATCATCTACTAGTTCTCTCGAAACATCTAACTAGAGGACGGAAGATACGTTACGAGGAAGAAAGTGTCCGTCAGGATTGAGTCAGCTGTGACTCACGGTGTGGGTTAAGTATTCTATGAAAAAGTGGAAAACGGAAACGATGAAGAAGGGAGAAGGTCGCGATAGAGGGGAATCGCGAGTCATCGAAGGGGTGACATTGTGGCTTTAATGGAAGCTCGTTAGATACGGAAAAGGAAAAAGGAAAAGGCTAGCGATTTTACAAAAGGATGAAAGGAGCAAGGCGAAGAGAGAGAAAGAGAGAGCGTAAGTCGGCCATAGGCAGGCACAATGCGAACTCTAACGAGACAAATCTGACGTCGCACCCTGGGGCCAGTCTCTCTTTCCCCCTGCTTAACAACAACCCCTTCTCCACGGCCCACGCTATCTTGCCGAACCTCTGTGACCGAATATCCCTGCCGCGCCGACCCCTTCTGCCTTCCGTCTTCGTTGTCTCCGGGCCGTTACTCGTGGAGGTATTATTTTCGGGCTTAATGAGGCGGGGCTGCAGCTAGGCAAGAATCCAAGATGCTAAACAAACACCAACGGTCCCCGACGTGACGGAATATTTGCTAAACTTTCGCTCCCATCTCGGCCAAGCACGATTGTTTGCAAAGTAGCATCGATTTTTCGTCCATCGATTCGACCCGGATGCCATGCGGCTCTGTTTGCATATTTCAAGGATTTTCCTTATTAGACGGTTACCACGGTAGATGGATTCTACTGTTTTCACAGTGTTGCACCTAGTTTTACAAGGGATTAGCACCGTAGACATTAACGCGTCTACGCACACGGCAACTCTTTGCAGACTGAATCATACATAGAATAGGACTAGCCGTGCCTTCCTGCTTGACCGCGGCCGAAAACAATGACTGATAATAATGTTTAACGGTTGAATATTTTATGAAAAATTCTAACACTATGATTACAATGCACTGCTGCATTTTCGTTTGCAGATCCATTGAAAGCGGGAATCGAACGTTTGCTTTGAAACTGCAAAAAGCGTACAATTGTCTTTCATTTTAGATGAAATGATTGCGACAGTGTACGAAACGGAAGTTATTTTTCTCATGAAAATGTACCTACGTAATGTCGGTTGAACTGAAAGTAATCATATTCATAATCGGTGTAGCTATTTGCTCGTAATATACATACAATTGCCTGAAAGTCAGATAACCGTGAAGAAAAGAGAGGAACACGTTCGATCGTTCTCTGCCATCGTCAGCAAGTCCTTTTTCGCCGCACGATCGGAAAACTGATTTCGGGAGAGCAGAACACAAAAATCTCGTTATTTTTATGGTTAATTAGACATGTATTGCGCTGGACCAAAGGCGATTCCGGCAAAGGAGACTTGATTTTTCCGTCTCGTTAGGCGATTCCCGATACGAACGTTCCCGGGCAAAGGGAGTCGGGATAAGGGCGAGATCCCAGGGCCCACCCTTCGCAGGCTGGATGGGGCTAACTCTCTCTCTCTCTCACTCCCTTCCTCGCTCTCTTTGTGTTTCGATCAGGAGAACAAATCATGAACTTCGGCGATCGTTAATTACGTTCGTCGGGCGAAACTTTTGACAATGTATTGCGGAATCGCTGCCGCCCGGCGGATTTCAATGGCAAAGTAGCCAAGTTTCGCGAACTGTTCCTACAACTTTATACTTTTCCTTCAATTTCACCGCGCTTCGTTACGTTCGCGTCGTACAATATTGTATTTCGTGTAATCGATACTCATCGGGATAATGGAAGATTAATATTAGGTTACTGCGCAACGAGCGATGGATTTTCTATTGTATATTGTAAAGAGACTTCGCATACTGATGCAACAGTTGCATTCTTGTACGCTAATTTGCAGAGACGAGCTTTGAACGGAATTGTATTTCCTGTATTAAGGGTTTAATTATATTTAATATAAAAAAGAACCATCAATTGAACTTTATGAAGGTTATCAATACAGTGTGCCCTACAGATACAAACTTTTTAGTTTAATTATAACAAGTTTTTAAATGTGGTTTATTGGTTAACATTCCTGTAGATTCTTTAAGATCGCTATAGCGAAACGGAAGTGTTTTTTAACTATTCTTTAAAATCATAGATTTAAAAGAATCATTTGAAACAACAATGTATTTGGTTCCAATGTATTTGATCCTTAATCAATTTTATTAATCTAGAACAGTAGAATGTACGCTTTAGGTCAACGTACGGCTGTAGACTCCTTGACCACTTTTATCCATAAAAGTCTAGTCAAATATTTCCAATAAACTGTTCTCACATCACTTTCCTCATTCTCTTCCGGTTCTCACCTCCATACGTCTTTGTCTCTCATATTAATAATGCGTTTCATCTAGATCCTCCTTTCGATACCTATTCGCCAAACATTCTAACAACGAACCTAACACACAAATATCCTCGCGTCCGGTAAATGGTACTCTTATGTTGATTTAATTACCGTTATCGTTCAAACGGTTAATTTCTAATGTTCCATTGTTCGCGACCACAATTCCAGCGTCCAAAGTAGAAGGACGGAAAACTGGGTCGAACATTCCTCAGCGGCGAACTGTCGGCTCACGTTGAAGGACTCTCGGAGATTCGGCTGGGCGACGTTCTCCCTCGGCGAATCAGAACTTGGCGGCACAATCAAATTGAATCGACGCAACGGTCGGTTGGCGCGAATCACGTGTCGATGCCGTTTCGAGCGGGTCTTGAGGAGAAAAAAGAAACGGAAAGAGGCACGCTATCCGAGAGATCTGGCTGGGGCCCCTCGACACGACACTTGGAACTTTTTAATTAATCAATCGGCCTCCGGCGTACGATTTCTTTGTCGCGCAGGCGAGCGCGGGGGAGGTGGGAACGAAATGGCCGACCGTGGTCTCTAATCGATCGCGAAAAATTTTCCATTTTCGTTGTATGTATGTACACGTCGCGCAATCTCGTTGTTTCTTTCCGTTCGAGCCGCCGGGAAATTTAATTACGCGATATTGGGCCTCCATGGGGGGACAGTTTTTTTCCACGACCCGGTCCGCAACACCGTTGGAAACTCGTGGAATTAAATTTTACCTATCACAACGCGGCCGCAATCTGTATCGCTCGACCCAAATAGAACGGACCAATCTCACGGTGTTTTGAAGAAATAATCCTGCAATTTGGTTTACTTCGTTACAACACAGGGATAATAAGAAGCTTTTTTTTTTCAATCTAAAATTGAATTCTTCGTAGAAGATAAAAAGTGAACTGCTTCAATGAATTCTTTTTGTTTTAAACTACAATTCGTATACTTGATCTTGATACGATGAGGTCTACATGGCCACTCCAATTAGTAGCCCAACGAGGAAAAAGAAACTGTATGTGTAAAAATGAATTAAAAACTGCAGAATAAACTGTTCAGATATGAAGCTTCGTTTCCGAGAGGGTCGAACTTGATTGGAATAGGACTGACTCATGCGTCTGCTTATTACTTTCTGATTCCAGTTGCGATAATAGCACGCAACGATGCGGTATCGTCCTCTTTCTATCAATCAGATTACTTCTTAATTTTAAGTTAAAAGACATACGAACAATCAGTAACAAATAGATACGCTGAATTTTCAAATTTGACTTTCGCAAACAAGTATCTTTGAAAATTTTCATTCCACGTCTTTAATTTGTTTTTGGTACGTACAGTAACCTCCTAATCGATAATAGTAATTATGGAATACTGTCTATATATAACGGAGACCGTGCCCTCGAAGAAGAATAAATAAGAAAGAAAAAAAAAGATGCTTCGAAAAGTGGGATCGGCGACGATAACGTGTACGGTGACTTTTCCCCGGTTGCCTTGCGGAAACGTGACGTTGCAGAAAACCACAATACGTTATAGAACATTTCCACGGAGCCCGAAATAAATCGCGTTAAAGAGCAAACACATTATTTACCGCGCCACCGGAAACGGACGATAAATATCCAGGTTTCTCTTCTTCGAATGCTCGGGGGAATAAATCAGCCTCGGCGTAGGTACATTTAACAATCATCAGCTTGCGCGCCGTTCAGTTCTTCCGGAAAGAAATCACTGCGGGGGCGGTTTTCACGGGGTGGCGCGAGCAGGGAGGGGATTGAGAGGGGGACCGTCGCCGCGCC